GTTCTGCTTCCTGTCTTTCCTTTATCCCACACTGAAAGGAGCATCGCAGCTCAGTGCTCACGCACGCACGCGCACACGTACACACACACACACACACACACACACACACACACACACACACACACACACACACGCACAAGCACCCACCCCACAGCTGGCCAGCATGTGTGAATGCCATGCTTTAAGCCCAGGAGTATATAGCAGAGTGAGCGAGAGGCATTGAGGAGGGAGAGGGAGGAGCTTATATACACCTGGACAGGACAAGCTATATGTGGACATGTTTAATATCATGATTGGCATGCCGCTTTTGCAGTTCGACTCTGATTTAAGTCAGTTTTATCAGCATTTTCCAGCAACACGATTACATCAGCAGCCACCTCACTCGCCGTCAGAGCCGCCTTACAGAAGCCTGACTTCTGTCCAGGTCCGTGTTTTTTGAAGACTGGTGCAATGTTTCACTTTCAGACTAAATGAAGATAATTAAATGAAATTTATCCCGATAGGGTTTTGGTTGAGTAAGCTGTTTGATTGAGTTGGCAGCTCAACAACAGCCTTTTTAATATGACAAAGTTCACTTTGTTTTGATTATATCCTTCAGGGGTTTAATTCTTGACACTGTAACTTGTGAATGCAATCCATTTGCCACCTCAAACATAATGCAGTTGCCAAAATGGTGAAACACGAATGAATTGTGGATGGATAAATTAAAATTGGAATTGTTCACAGACAGATGGGATTTATATCAACAGGACACACAGTTTTTGGTTTGGTATGGACCTCAGATTTAGAGTCACAGCTCACAAATTGTGCTCACCTTTTACGACACTGTATCGTTATTTTTATTAACTGATAAATGAAATGCACTGTTTTGGCTTCCTCTCTGTGTCCCTCACTCTGGTCCAATGTCCTTCACGCAACAATATCTGATTTCATAACTAACAGCCAAAATACACTGAAAGCTATTGTTTGCGCAGAGGGACGGATTAGCGAGCCATGTTTGGAAGGTGAGGTAGAAGATGTTCATGAAACTGTAAGAAACGCCGCAATCTTCACCAAGAACGCCCAGCTTCCCTGTCACACTGAATATGTCAAAATAATTCACCTGTTGGTGTCAGTGCACCCAGAACTAGTTTGCTTGGCTAAGGCTATTACCAAGATACTTGCTGTGCCTCTTAGCCTGTGGCTAATGCTGTCAGTAATACCTGTTACATCTTCCCAAAGTAGGGTTTATTTTAACAGTCTGCTCTAACGGCCAGACACGTCTCTCTCTCGCAGAGACACAACCCACAAAAACTGAACAAGAATCACAGCCATCGCCATCTTAGTGGGCAATAAAAAATAATAGAGTGAAAGAAAAACAAAAAACAGTGGACATAATCAATCCCACAGTGAACAGAGGAGAACAGAATTACAAGATGCTCTGACATCATCATCACTTTTGTTTAATTTTTTACATATTCAGTTGTAGTGATCAATTACTATTGATCACTGTAACTATTAATGAAGTTGGAAATATTGGTTATCATTCTTGATTAATTGCAAATTATCCATATCAGACCCGGTAAAACCATATTGGTTGAGTGATCACTTCAACACATTTGTATTTTAAGCACCAACAATAATTTGCTCTTGATATTTGAAGCACCCGTACTTGAGGCATAATACAAAAACATGCTGCTTAGAATCATAAGAATGGTAAGATAAAATGCATTTACAATAAAAAAAAAAAAACAAACAAAACAAAGTTGATTTAGGGCAGTTGTTTGTTGTCACACAAGTGGATTCATTCGCACGGCTAAAGCATTTGCAGAGAACTGAACCGGAGAGAGAATAAGAGGCAGAGACGGATGGCTGGAGGAGAGAGTTTTAGAGTTAAAACAAGACGAGTGAAGAGATGGACCGAGCAGAAAGAGCCGGAGAGAGGTGATTGAGAAGTGAGGCCATGAAGAAGAAGCTTGGAGGAAGAGAAGGGAAAAGGCAGCCAAGTGGAGAAGTGTGTGCGTGTGCGTGCATGTGTGCGTGTGTGGCCAGATGGCTCCAGCGTGTGGCGACCAGCCAGAGGAACAGGTGCAGGTCACATGACCAGCCGTTACCACGGAGATGGTGATTGCTCTTGGCGTGAGGATGAAAGGAGAAGGGCCCCAGGGACAGAGGGGGTGAGGATGGAGAGGGGGGAGAGAGAGGGGGAGAGAGCAGGAGGGAGGGAGGGAGGCACAGAGCAGGAGAGGGGACGAGCCTCATAGGCACAGAGCAGGAGAGAGAGAGAGAGATCCAGGCATACAGTGCTGCAGAGGACAGCTGTTGTACACAATCTTATTGTGAGTTAGCACAACAAATACTTGCCTTCTTGTGGTTAAAAAAAAAGAATTATTTTATTTTCAAATCAATCAACATGTTGTCATCTGTGCTGCACAGTTGGATTCACATAGTCACTTTAATCCAGTTCCATGTTTGCAAATTAGCCGTATCCGCTAATCCCCAATGCTAACGAATCTCTTATGAAACCGTTTTAGCTGTACTCATTCTTCCTTAGTAGCAAAGAGCAGTGTGGAAAACAGTGGCCCTGTTTTTTGGTTCCTGTTAAAGTGACAAACAGCACTGGTGGCAGATTACAGCTGTAGCCAATCAAAGTTCATTCCACAAGTAACTTTTATAGGCAGCAACAAGCTGTAACAAAACTTTACTGTTGTCTGGGGGGAAGTGCTGTTTGTACTTGGCCATAGATTGTTTGTGGAGTAAATCAAGCACCACTTTCGCTGCTGCAGAATGACATGTAACCAGGGATTTCAGTTTTTTCCCTTTATCTTTTCACAGTTTTTTGTAGATGTTTCAAATAGGGATGTCTCAATTATGCTTTTTATTCACCCCAGATCCAAGTCCAGTCATTCAGTATTTAGTGTCTGCAGATACTTTTTTTGACAATAGATTCATAGTATTGTAGATTAGCTGTACTACCAGAGGAGGTACGCAGTTCTGTGAGAGCATTGTAGGCCTTTAGCTAGCAAAGGGGCACCAAGTCTTCTGTGAAGGTTAATGACCTCCAACCAGCGCCCATTTATTAAAACAAGTCTGGATCAGTTTGGACATTGCTCTTATGTCCCAATCACACATTTAACTGCTCCCTTTGCAAACTGTATCACGTGTCTGTGGCTTTGCCAGCAATGTCATCCCATGACCAATTAAAAAGTGTGGTGAATTTATATTGTCAGTCAATGAATTATTGATTGATATTGCTGCTCATGTTAAATAAATTATTCAAACATGTGTTGCAGTCGATTGGGCTCAGTTTCTTTTGACCCCGATGCTGATTGAAGGATCGGGCTCAGGACATCCCTAATGTCAAATAAGTATCTGAAAAGGTCAAAGTGGACCACTGTCAATTCTAAGTGGATTTTGGAAAGTGTGAAGTTGTTGGACTGATACCAATGTATATTGCTATTGAATTTCCTTAATCTTTTGGAAGACATAAAAATTCAGCATTAGCAAGGAATTAATGGGATCTGAAAGCCAGGCGTCGATCCACCTTGTCGGCAGTCAAAATATAATTTCAGGATGTCTAAGGATCAATTCATGGTTTCTGTGTTGTTCATACAGCAGACGATCCGCATGGCCCTTATATTGAACACAAGAGAAATACGTGGCAGTTTTTACAGCACATATTAGCAACACGCAGATTGAGCTGTAGCACCGTGTCAGTGAATATTCCTGAGGTGTGTTGAGCTCAGTGGGGGGTAATTCTTGAGAATTTAGAGCTTCCCACTGTGTTGGCACTGCTGATGGAAAGCACGTCCAAATCAAAGAACTTTCAAAGTCCAGCAACCACCATTTTAACTGTAACTTATTTAAGAATTAAATTTTAAGGTGTGGATAATGAAGACTCTCCTTGTGTTCTCTATACAAGTATTTGTTTTTAGCACCACTTGTGTTCCTGGTGCTTGCTTGCAGTCTGTACAGTCCGTGTGGTCACAGATTTTGGGCTGCAAGCGGACGTTGCAGAGGGGTCTGTGTGGACCTTCAGGGAGTTGCGTGCATGACAAAGTTTCCCTTGTGTACCATTGCTGATATGTGAATGTGGAAAGCACGAGTTAGATGAAACCTAAACAGATTTGAAAGTATTTGCTTTGATTTTCATAACGGATTTGAATGTAATAGGATGTTATTGATCCTCAAAGAGCTTCCTGTTAAACACCAGTGACCCGAGAAAGGCGGCTACTCGGACTATCAGTGTTTCCCTGATGGCAATCAGAGAGCATTGTGGGAGTTAGGCTAGCAAAGGGCCACCAAGAGAAAGTGCCCTGTGATGCTTAATGGCTATCGGGGAGAGCTTTGAGTTGTTGGTGAGCTGAAATGATGAGGATAGTATGAGTTAGTGGCTGATTGTTTATGCCAGTAGAGTTGTCCATGTGATGTGGCATAAGCTGTTGGACTGGTTTACGTCATGTGACCGTGCCGACTGTCTATCAGGAAAGACGTTTAAAATTTGAATCTCTAGTCCGATGCAGCACTGACGTATGTGGCAGTGGCAGGTTATCCCAACATTTTAGGTGAATTCAAATCAGCCTTCGTTCAGCAGTCCAGTGGTTCCAGCAGCGGTTGAAAGTGCGTCACGAGACCTCGGGTCTGCTGCTGGAAGTGGTATAAATGAGAGCGATTGTGTGAGAGACAGAAGAGGGATGCTGAGTGTCCTCTCACCTCTGTGGTGTGAATGCACACTCACAGATAGAGCCAGCTCCTCTTTCTTTCCATGCCAGAGATTAGAGGAAGCCTGGGGGCCTCTCAGCCCCTCCCCCTGTGCTCAGTGTCTGCCTGTCTCTCTCTCCTCCCCCCTCCTCCCTCCTGGTGTCTCTCTCTCCGGGCCCCCCTCTCTCCTCCTCTCTGGGCCTGTATCTCTCCATCTCGCCTCCTCTCTCCCTATGCCTCCATGCAGTCTTTCATCATATTAACCCCCTGTGTGCCAGAGCCCGAGGCACACTAATGATTTCTAAATGGGTAAATCAAACATGGCGATCGCCCTGGGACAGACGGGGGCGCACACACACGTGAACGCTTGGTAGTCTGTAAAAGACTTTGAGGAATGGGTTTGTGTTGTGTGCAGCCACTTTCTATCTTAATCTTAAGGTTTTTTTCTCTCTCTTCCTGCAGCAGTAAAAAGGTGGAGTCGGAGGGCGGGGCTAGCGCTGCTAAGAAGGATTCTAAGAGGAAGAGAGAGTCATCAGTCAGTGATGACGTGGAGGTGAAGTCTCCACCCCCCTCTCCTCCTGAAGAAGAAGATGATGATGGTGTGCAGGTAGGAGAAACCACAGCAGTATTTTCAACTTTCCAGGCCTCCAACATAACTCCCGAACAAGCCACGGCCGATAGAGCGCACCAGGGTGGCCCAACAAAAAACAAAAAGCAGAAGGCCATAAAAGCTCTGCAGATCCCTCAGTGTCACGGCCTGTAGAGATAGAAGGCACCGAGCCAGTAGGCATCTGCTGTTTGTGTTGTAAACCAGCCTTGTTGACAGACCAAGCAGACAAGCCCCCTGTCAAGTTCACATCGCACACATCAGCAACTTTTCAGCTGCTGCATACATTTTTTGATAATGTATCTGCATGTATCTTTTCGACTGCTGGTTTGGTTACAGTAACATTTAAAGGAAGCAACATTCACGTTTGTGTGTGCCATGTACAGAGTAGCATCTGGCTTTTAACTGCATCAAGAGTCGTGGCTCTGATTCAAATGGGAAAGCTGCACGTCCCCTTTAACCTGGTCTTTACAGTAATTTTTTCCATACTGTTATAATATGGAAACATGTTGAGCCCAACAAATTGGATGATGTTTTCTTCAAAGTCAATATGGATAACATGCAAGACCATATGGAACAGAATAATGAATAATGAAAATGAGGTCTGTTTCTCGGCCACTCCAAGCACACACAGCCCTGTAGTTTCCTCTCTCCACCACTGAGTTGATATGAAGTAATACAACAGTATACAATATGCTGTTATTTAAATGTTGACAATTCCTTTTTGTATGGTGATGCTTTAAAATTAGTGAGTGAATTTTTAATGAGCAAAGCAACAAACCATCTAATAAGAATTTCTGGAAGGGCTACCAAACCGTTGCCAATGAACACTAAACACTGACCTGATTTTTTCCTCCCATTTTAACAATCAGAAGCGTCGCTCCAGCCGTCAGGTGAAGAGGAAGAGGTACACAGAGGATCTGGAGTTTAGGATCTCTGACGATGATGACAGCGGAGACGACTCTCCAGCACCAAAATCCCCATCGTCCTCATCACAGCAACAGGTAGAAAGCAGTTTGTTATTTTATGTATAGTGTGACTCACAGGGCGTAGGCTGCAGGTATAGGCCTGCTATCGGCCGCTCACGTCAGGCATTCTGCTTCCACTATCTGCGTGTGTTAATTGTTTTTTAAAATCCGCTTCACTGTGGGAAACTACAACAACAATTACTGTGCTAGCAACATACCACACTGAGAATTTTGAGTTTTGCTGAGGATTTGGATTGTGTAAGGCAGCACTGCTATTTTTTTTTTGCAGTAAATTGTCCATTTTAATGACAGTGTTTACGTCTTTGCATGCAAATAGCCACCGAAAATATTTCATCCATTCCTATTTTGAAAGAACACCAAATTTGCATTCTTCCTTTAGCTCTGCCCAAGACAGCTGTGATTGGTTTTAAGAAATACGAACAATCCAGATTGTTCTTTTTTTCACCCTTTTAGCAGAATGATATCGTCGTGCAGTCAGACCATTATGTACGGGCAAAATATCTAGCAAGTGTGTTGAAAGAGTCTGAAGTTAGAAATCTTAAGACCTGCTCAGGTTGGATAATATTTTAATGGCGTCAGATTTTGCCTCACTGTTCACATGAAGGTAGCCTTGCTTTTACGTTATTCAGTTGTGCTAAGTCAGAAGTTTTGTGAATTTTGTGCATCATGTCATTTTTAGAAAGCACTGAGAACTTTGTGGTCTGTTAATTTAAAAAAAATTAAAAAAAAGCAGCCCCTGAGGCAAAATCTTTGATGTATTTTTCTATTTAAATACTTTGTAGATGTTAAATCCTAGAGATATGAATTGTCTCTTGTAAACCTGATGTATTTTTTTTTCCCAACATCTCTGAAATAATAATGTTGTAAATTATCTTAGTTATGCACTCATGTTAATTCTACACCTGGATGAACCTCTCGCTTTTACCTGAAGAAGCAGGGAAGGTGTTTCAGGGCCTCTGTATCACATTGATGATCCAAACATTTAGCAGATGGCAATAGACTCGATCCTTATTGTGTTCTGTGTTTCCAGGATGTGGCTGAAGCTGAGGGGCCTGTTGTGGAGAAGATCATGGGCTTGCGCACCTCCAAAAAACAGGTGGGACACACACGTACACACACTTCACAGACACCAACACAATACACAGAGAGATGCACACATGGACTGACTGGCCCGAGTCATGGTTTACGTCATCTGATTAGCCACTCCACAGCTGGCCTAAGCAGATTATACACACACACACAGAGACACACACACACACAGAGAGCTTAGACAGCGTGTATTCACTTGGTAAGCGGAGACAAGAGTTCTTGTATTTCTGTGTGTGTGTATAATAAGTGTGTGTGTGTGTCTCTGATTGACTGTGTGCGTGTGTGTGAGTGCGTGTGCGCGTGCCTCTGATTGACTGTGTGTGTGCGCGCGTGCGTGTGTGTGTGTGTGTGTGTGTGTGTGTGTGTGTGTGTGTGTCGGCCGGCTTTGTTTTATATGCCTTGCTTAAAGAAAGCTCATCCCTGAGCCAACATACGCACGCACATGCAGTCACCAGCCAACTTTCCTTTGCTAGCCAGCTGCCAATGGGTTACCCCCCACCTACGTGCACACACATGTGCGCACACACACACACACACACTCGCTCCCTCTCACAGCTCCATTCAGTGTTGACCCCGGGCTTGGCACACAGCCAAAACCACAACGCTAGCTTCGCCAGACGCCAAGCTAGCGTTTCCTCAGGCAGGGTGTGTGTGTGATTGATGATTCATGGCATTACAGTAGTAGTAGCATAGTGGAGGGTGTGTGTCTGTGTGTGTGTGTGCGCGCTGCAGCACGAGTAGTGAATGGAAGTGGACGAACTTGCTTGAAAGACCTACTGTTTTGGTATTTCCCCTTTTTACATGCACACTGCATGTATAGAATAAATGCAGCGCAAGTATATTAGTGATACGCTGAATCTAAGTTGAATTTATTCATGTTGTTCCCATTAAGATTTTTTACATTTTCTGACTTCTTCGCCAGCTTCATTCATATTTGGCCTTTATATTGTAGCCAAAACAGCAAATGGCAGTGAGACTGACAAGACGTGAATGAAACAATAGCTTCCCTCAGTGTGAGGATGTCAAGCGGAGTGAGATTCAGTGTTGACTGACATGTCAGTGTGAAACTAGTATGCAGGCTCCTTCTGTGCCACTTCACTAATTCAACCACATGTTGTATAACAATGACGAGCCACTTCTGCTCTTTCACCATGCAGCTGCTATATTTGCCGTGATTATTAACCTTTTTCTTTTTTCCTTTTCAGCTGGAGTCGGGGGAGGAAGTGGAGGTGGAGGAGTTCTACGTCAAGTTCAAGGGCTTGTGAGTAGTAGCTAGGTTTTTTTTCTTTGCTCTCCACCTCTTTTGTCTTTCACAGCAGGGCTTCCTCTCTTTTTAGACCTATTTTCAACACACACGCCAGGGTGTCTATGGGTCTTTAAGAGTGAAAAGCTCAGTATATTCAGCCTGAAAGCCTTATTCAGTTTTTCCTTACCCTGAGGTGCTTCTCATTTGTGCTCCAGATCCATTCTCGTATCAATAGCACAAGTGGCAGCAGCACAGTTTCATCCTATCATAGTGCTAAATACATGTTATTTTTGTCATTCAGCTGGAACACATTTCATTTGTGTCTGGACAGATTGCAGTCTAGACTGCAAAAATACAATTAAAGCTGTATGTCCAATACACAAATTCGATCACATGGCTTGCAAATGAGTGTAGACAACCTGAAGTCTGAATGAAGTTAACAGGCTGTTTTTATGCAAAACTCAAACTTCGTTTATCATGAAATGTGGTCTAAACATAGCCAAATCTTGCTCTTCTAAAATGTGGGATGTATTTGATTCACCTTAGTTGACTTTTTTTTGGCCTGCATTAAGGTGGGTTCAGGTATCGAAATCACACATGGCAGCAGCTACAAGGCAACAGCTGCATGGCAAAAGAACAACAATGGCAGATCTTCTTATTGTTTACTTGTGACAACAGCTGGTTCTCCTTGATTAAATAAGTGATTAAAACTAGCCTTTGCTATTCACACTTTGAACTATGTTGTAACTAATAATACATCAGTTATGTTCTCAAATACGTATCTATAAAAGGCTATAACAGTCAAAATTTCTGTCAGTTTCTTCAAGATTGAGATGATGTCCTCCCATTTTGTATTATCTAATCAGCGGTCCAGACCTCAAATATTCTCAGTTTACGGCCAGAGAAGGCCATGAAAACTGGCAAATTTTCACTTTTAAGAACCTAAAGCTGAGTACAATTTTAGTCATTTTAACAGATTTCTAAAATACTTCCTGTGTAATTTCCTGTCGATCACCTAACCATCTCAGCACTACTTTGCGGTAAAATGTATGTGAAAATAGATGATTACGATCCACTCTGGTGAGTTAGGGCTCCGTTGCCTTCAGTTTGTGCTGCATTTGTCCACTGACACCCTCTTGAGAAAGTCTGCATTGTCTAATCAAACGCAGTGCACACAGGTGTTGTAGACAGAACTGAAGCTATCCAGACTGTTTCTCACCACTTTCAGCTGCTCCCCTGATCATTTTCACAAAAGTCAAGAGGAGTCGAAATATTTCAACAATTCATATTGCAGCCTTATAGTACATGACACATTCATTAGATTACAGAATCTACCTCTCATCCATCAATTCCCAAACACTAACATTCACTGTGGTAAAGCTTAAACCCCAGCAAGTGTTTTGTTGTATTTGTTTCAAATGCTCTCTGGCTTAGAAAAGATTGATCTAAAGCATGTGTGTCTCTCATTTTTTTTAGTTCATACCTCCACTGTCGCTGGGCAGAGCTGGAGGAACTGGAAAAGGATAAGAGAATACATCAGAAGGTCAAGAGGTTTAAGGCCAAGCAACAACTCAACAACTTTATAACAGAGGTACGACCTGAGCTCTGTACTACAATCGGCCCATTATCTGGGTCCTGACCTTACACTGCTTGGAAGTAAGTACTTACAAGGGTCAAACCAATTGGATGACAGTAATGGCTCAGGATTGAAAACTGCACTGAGAACGGCAGAGAATTTGAAGGTGTCAGAATCAGACGATGTCTTCTTTGCCATAATAGAAAGTTGTTTTGTGTGTCATTCGTCTTTAATATGCCAGATTAGTCACCTTTTAGCTGCTTTGTCGTTTGTATGATATTGTGCACTGGCAGTTAAACCTGTTGAACAAGGTAAAGGATACATAGATGAATTGATGATGTTCACAGCACATTCAATGTCTTTTTATTCTTTAAAGATGAAATCATCTGGCCTCAGCCCAGCTCATTCTGTAAGCCAGCATATCGTATCGCCAAGAGTAAAACCCCACTTGTTTTCTCTCCAGATGGACGACGAGCCTTTTAACCCGGACTATGTGGAGGTGGACCGTGTCCTGGACGTTTCAGAGAGCACAGATGAAAACGGAGAGGTGCTTTGATCTCTTTCATGGGTTTGAGCCTCTCTTCTTTTCCTCTCGGCACACACACTCACTCACCGAGCCTCCCTCTGTTTCTGTGTGCAGACGGTGACCTTATATTTGGTAAAGTGGTGCAGTCTGCCTTATGAAGACTCCACCTGGGAGCTGAAGGCCGACATCGACCAGTCCAAGATAGAGGAATACGAACGCATCGCAGCACGCACACCCAACACTAAGAGAGTGGTGAGGAGCTCTGTCTGTCCGTAGACGCTGTTTGGGTGCTATCTGTCTTCCAGCCTCCTCCCAGTTGTGCGTGTGCATGAGTGTGTTTGTGTGTGTTCGCCTGCTGCCGGCTCCTTCCTCCTCCAGATTTACAGCTCCCTTAACTGCTCTCCACAGGGCCACGTTCTTGTGGTCTTACACACTCGCACACACTCACACACGCCCTGCTCTTGTGGCCAGGCCAAACCACTAACAGTGTGTTTAATGCTGAACAGAAGCAGCTGACTGGCTGTGGTCTTTCCCTCCATCACTCCCTTCCTCGCCCTCTGTCCATCTATTTAACTACTGCCTACTGTTTCTCCGTAAGGGCCATATTGGAAATGCTTCATCATACAGCGGCAGGGCTTGGAGGCGGTTTTATTTTTAGCCTCACGTATGGCTCGAGGGATGGTCATTTGGAGTTTTGGACCATTTGCAGCAGACGTTCATTTTACACAGAGGATGAATCCCAGTAATTTTGTTGGTTAGAAGTTCCTTAAAAACTAAGCATTAGTTTAAGATAGGACTGCTAAGACCTATAAAACAACTTCTGCTCTCTGTTCTGCATAAAAAGATGTAGCCTTGTCATTCATTTGAATAGTGTCTGTCAACGCAGCATGGGTGCTAACACTCAAATCTCCTGCCAAAAAACCCAGGGTCATCTGGCAAGAAAAAAAGTTGAACCAGTCTCAACTTTTGCGAGAACGTGACTTCGCCCAGCAAGGCTCTGTATTGTTCAATTGCAAGCTCACATTCCTCATCAATTTCTTTGTGACACATGAAAATTGTGTTTTTCTCATTTAGCTCGCTATTATTTGGGATGCACGATGAAATACTTGCCACTGACAAATACGTTGTTATAAAATTCAACAATAGTAGTTTTAACCACATGTTGCCACCAACAGCCCTGGGTTGTTTAAATGTAAAAGCTGCATTTGGTCTGAATCTTTACTGACTCTGAAAAAACTCTCCTTAATGTAAACTTACATAGTTTTGTCCTGTTACAGAAAACTGTTCATTTTGATGCAAAGAAAATCATCGAATGATTGCATTTGAGTTGCTTGAAGTTGTCATTTTTGCCTAAAAGATCAATGAAACAATAAGCAAAATAGCCACCAAAATGAGCATACCTTGACATCAGTGATTTAATGGAAATAATAATCCTTTTTGTGGTTTAAAACCCCCGCCAAAATGTCTCCTTGTGTTTAGGATCGGCCTCCTGCAGCCGACTGGAAAAAGCTGGAGGGCTCCAGGGAATACAGGAACGGCAACGCACTCAGGGAATACCAGCTCGAAGGCCTCAACTGGCTAACCTTCAACTGGTACAACTCGTAAGTCACCATTAATTGTATTTTGTTAGAATTAGTCCCTAACTGCTACTGTCAGCCTGCGCATGTGATAGCACCTCATTTAATAGTCTTAAGTGGACATTAAAGTGAACATTAAGTGGCCCTCTGGCATACTGCTGTTTAAGTTTCCCCACTGGCGCCATCCATGCCTGAAATGTATGCGCTGATGGTACCACAAGAGTTTTTAGACAAACATATTCGCTCAACGGCACAAATGGAAGTCTGAGTACCTTTTAAACCTTAGTCTGTTGCGCTTGAAGGTGAATACTGGTCGTGGATTTTCTGGAATATCAGGCGCATATTCAAGGAATTCAGTCAAATCTCAGAGGATGACAAATTGGTCACTTTTCCAGCAATATAGCACCGAGTTTTTTCCAACTTGTCTCCCACGTTTTTTGCATTAGATCACTGGAGTGGAAAACAGACTGCCTCACCCCCTTGGAAAAGCAGCATTAATAAACCAGGAGGGAAAATCTTTTAGCTCATGGAAGCTTATTGACTTGAGTCATGTGAAAGTCATGGAATTTTATATCAGGGCCACAGGGTACACAAATGACAAATAATGTGAAATCCATCCATCCATTCCTGCTTCTCACTCCGTTTACGTCATTTGTCCTCCACAGACGTAACTGTATCTTGGCTGATGAGATGGGTCTCGGGAAGACCATCCAGTCCATTACATTCCTCTATGAGATTTACATGAAGGCCATTGAGGGGCCGTTCCTGGTCATCGCCCCGCTCTCTACCATTCCCAACTGGGAGAGAGAGTTCAGGACCTGGACCGAGCTCAACGCGGTGGTCTACCACGGCAGCCAGGCCAGCCGCAAGACCATCCAGGCCTACGAGATGTACTACAGAGATGCACAGGTAATGGCAATAACACAAACTTTCCTTATAAAGCTCCTCAACCCCCCTTGTTAAGATTTTTGTGTTATTTCAGCTACCATTGTTTTAGATCAGAATTGCGTCTAAGGTCATAAACAATATTGTGGACCTGAAAAGATACATTTATCATATGTATGCTAAGAGTAGAATTTAGAATTTAGTTATGCAGATATTATAGTAATTATTCATATAGCTATCGTGAATTATTCATGCATTGGTTCACATGTCACATCACAGATTGCAAAATCTGAGTGCTATTTTGTCATAATTCATGAGTACATTCATCTGTTTTTCAGGTAAGAATAAGATCAGAAAACAGTTGGGTACACTTTCCCTGCAACACAAGAGATCCACGAGAATTTTTGCGCACATTAAAGGCGTCCTGCACTGAAAATCAAGTTTTCCCCTCGTTACCGTGACCAGTTCAACAATGACTGGAATAAATAGTTCAAATCTGCTGTAACTCGTTTTACCTAAATGACCTAAATCTGTGGCCACCCTAATATTAACTCTACTTAAGGTGTTACGAGTTCAGATCCAGCCTTAAGTAACAGTGACACAGAAGTCAGCTTCAGCTTCTGTAATGTGACACACAATATGTGGACAGAGTTTAGTTACAAGAGTTGTTTAAATGAAATCCATCGGACGATGTGATAGGTCTAAGTGGGTGGGGCTGACTGAATACTGTGTGATGCAGAGCTGTGGACAGCTGATCACCCACACTTCTGTGGCCTGCTATGATGTCACTGTGTCTGTGTCAAGTGTGGTTTTAAATGATGGGCAGGGTTGCTCAATAATTTAGGTTAAAGATGAGTCATCAACAACTATTGTTCTATTTATGATAAGAGAAAGAAAGAGGGGTGATATTTTCTGACACATATTTAGTGTGCGACAAGGCATGACAGAAGAGTTAAAACAGACACAAGATTAGAACTTATTTCTTTAGTTATTCTTTATTTCATTGTGTCTATATGAGGATGAGAATCGTGTAGATGTACAGTAAGTGGAAGAAACAAGATGCTGTTGTGTGAGACAGTCAGCAGATCTGAACACCTCCTCGGTCAGGGGAAATCTTCAGCCAGCTGGGGATGGACAGTGCTCCTCTGCTGCATAAGCTCTTTACAGTCCTCTAGCTATAAGCCATATACTGTAAGCTCTTATTGCACAATGCTGCTAACATCTCTTAGGGTAACCTTCGCCAGAGTGAGCCCATGAAGAAAATAAGCTGTAGTAGCAGCGTACTTGGTAGCTGCTTGTTTCTAATCCAGGCTGAGGTAATCCTCAAGGTCACGATGGAGAGACGTGTTCTTTTCTCCTGTCCCATCTGCATGGGACATTTCCAGGCAGATTCCCACAGATTTTGATAATAAGATGAGGTTTTGTTGTTGTATCTGTTATCTAACTCAAAACAGCTTGAAAACCTCAACAAATGCCACCAAGATTTTTTTGAGTTTATACAAAATGCAGTGAGTTAACTGCACATAGTGGGACCGCCACAGGTCCAACTTTATCTTGTATTACAGTGTGATTCCTGGCCTTCATTCCCACATTTATGGATTTGCTGTGGCCCGCAGTGAATACCTTCTACTTATAGGATGAAAGTATAAACCATTTCGTTCACAAATCCACAGGGTACGATAATAAATGAACCGGTGACACTGTTCTTATTGACCTTCATGCTCTTCCTCTTTCTTCGTCGCTTCAGGGTAAGATAATAAAGGGAGTGTATCGGTTCCACGCGGTGATAACAACCTTTGAGATGATTCTGGCCGACTGTCCAGAGCTTCGCAGCATCCCGTGGCGCTGCGTGGTGATCGACGAAGCACATCGCCTCAAAAACCGAAACTGCAAACTACTGGAAGGACTCAAAATGATGGACATGGTGAGTGGCTGTTTCTGTTTGTAATACAGGAGTGTCTGTGACAAGAGGAATAAAGTAGTTAGTTAATAAGTGGTATGCGCTAACAGTTTCTGGGCACACTGGAGTCCAGATTGATAGAAATAAAATGTGTTTTGTCCAGCTGGATTTGTTTTAAGTCTTGCAGAAATTTGAGAGCAGATGAGAGATGGACAAATTAGCCCAGTATCTGTGCCATGTTACTATAATCCCTCTCTCCTCCTCTTCAGGGGTTAAAGTCCTGTAGGCACATCCTGATTTCAATTTTAGAAACTCTAAATATGTCTTTCCTGTCTCCGCTTTCTCCTACAGGAGCACAAAGTTCTGTTGACAGGAACTCCTCTCCAGAACACTGTGGAGGAGCTCTTCAGCTTACTCAACTTCCTGGAGCCTGAGAGATTCCCATCTGAACAGACATTCATGACTGAATTTGGAGACCTAAAGACTGAAGAACAGGTAACAGGATGGCCCAGTCAGGGCTGCGGAAATAGGAGTTGGTGGGAAATATGTTTTTGTCTTCCCATGTTTCCTAAATTGAAATTCCAGTAACATGGCTTCTGTATGTATCAGGTTCAGAAACTGCAAGGCATTCTCAAGCCCATGATGCTGAGAAGACTGAAAGAGGACGTGGAGAAGAACCTGGCTCCCAAAGAGGAGACCATCATTGAGGTAGGACTCATGTCTCAGACCTCCTTTTCTTCATCTGGAGAACATTATAAAAAGCCTCATTATACCGACATCCACAGCAACACTTTTATTCTGGCCACAGTCTTTTCCAAGTGAAAAAAACTCCTGTGAATTTATGCCGTTTTCAGGTGGAGCTGACCAACATCCAGAAGAAGTACTATCGAGCTATTCTGGAGAAGAATTTCTCCTTCCTGTCCAAAGGAGGTGCAGGAGGAGGTGGAGGAGGAGGAGGAGGAGCCAGTGTCCCCAACCTCCTCAACACCATGATGGAGTTGCGGAAATGCTGCAACCACCCCTACCTCATTAATGGTACATACTCACTCTTGCAAAACCTTTTATTACATTCAACCAGTGTCTTTTTTCTAAACTTGTAATTTTGTCTTGACCAGGAGCCGAAGAGAAGATCATTGAAGAGTTCAGAGATTCCCATGGCGGCAGGGCAGACGTGCCGGACATGGCCCTGCAGGCCATGATCCAGGCAGCCGGCAAGCTGGTGCTCATTGACAAGCTGCTGCCCAAGCTAAAAGCAGGAGGACACAGAGTCCTGGTGTTCAGTCAGATGGTCCGCTGTCTGGACATCCTGGAGGACTACCTCATCCAGAGACGGTGAGAACACCATAATACGAACTAGTATTTACTTCATAAGTACAAATGTTAATCGCTACAGCGTTTATGGCTTCAGTCTGAGCCCTTCTGCTCGTCCTGAGTCTGATCCAACACTTGCATTTACCGTAATAACACAGCTGCCCAGTGCAAACTCAAGCTACAACCTGAAAATGAGATGATGTAGAACTTCATCTTCAGTCCTATTTGGGTCGTAGCAGAAAATGTGTAGTGTTAATTAAATATGTATCTGGCACAGTGAAATAACAGCTGTAACCTGCTAAATTTGGCACACCTTATTTTTTATGAGTAACTTGATTGGGAAAAACTGAAGGTCTTGGTCCAAAGTTGAAAAGTTTCCAAGCTGAATTTGTTTATTCATTCCTTCATGATATGAATGAAATGTTAGCTGTGAGACTACAACTGATGAAACTGACATCCGATAGAAATGCTTGGTCCATTTGTGATGGTTCACTGGTGTTACAGAGTCGAGCTTCGTGCCTTACAAAAGATTATTTTGCTGAGTTCAGAAACACAGTACAGAGCATTTTAAGCAGAATTTTAATTTTGAGCTGTCATCAGTTTATGCTCAATTAATGTTAATTAATGCTGATATAGCCTGTTGCTGACCACCATGTGTGCCATTTTAGCTGGAGTAGCTGGTAACTGGACAGCTATCAGCGAGTTGTAAATGAAAATCTGCATGCACAATGTTTCTTTTCACTAATCTTTACTAATAAAGAAAGAGGAGAGCTAGCAGGATCCAAAAAGCTTAATGAATCTGTGTATTTGCCAGCCTGCATGTCAGAGCTGCACTGAATCTCTCACATATGCACTGAAATGCTGAACTTTACAACCCAACTGACTGAAAGCAGAGCAGCTTTTGAGCAGCAGATTGTGGTGGATAAAACACAACAGAGTAAAGAAAGGATCTGCATTCAATCAGGTTCCTTGTAAATCCAGTAAAATATGCCCAGATTGGCTGTGTACCAACCTTTACAGTTGCCTTCAAACACCTCCACTACTGTGTTGATTTTTCATGAAGAAACAAATTTAGTGGAAGTATTGTCACACCTGTCCCCTTTTCTTGTGTTCAGATACCCATATGAACGCATAGACGGCAGAGTCCGTGGTAACCTGCGACAGGCAGCCATTGATCGGTTCTCCAGACCGGACTCGGACCGTTTTGTCTTCCTGCTGTGTACGAGAGCTGGAGGACTCGGTATCAACTTGACTGCAGCAGACACCTGCATCATCTTTGACTCTGACTGGAACCCCCAGAATGACCTCCAGGTACAAACCACACAGTTTCCCCTGCACGTTGTTTGCTCTGTAGTGATTCTGGTGATTTCTGGATAGTAGTTGAGTCCTTAGTTTGGAGTTCAGACTGTCTGCTGTATGTATTGACTCTGCCAGCCACATTTAGCTCTGGTTCACTGGACCATATCATTATTCCTCTGCTGTAACCTTACCACTCCAGCTGAATACACTGCTACAGGCCGAACAGAAAACCAACTGAAAATCACTGTCTAACAATGTGTTTCTGTTTCACCAGGCCCAGGCGAGGTGTCATCGTATCGGCCAGTCCAAGGCAGTCAAGATCTACCGTCTGATCACCAGGAACAGCTACGAGAGGGAGATGTTTGACAAGGCCAGTCTGAAGCTGGGGTTGGATAAGGCCGTCCTCCAGAGCATGAGCGGACGAGAGAACGCCAACAGTGGGGTAAGAAGCATCACACCGTCACACACATCAAGTATCTGCTTCAGTAACTCAAGATCAGTTTTTCTTTTAAGCGAATCACCTTTGTGCGTTATGTGTTTGTCACAGTGTTTCCCAGATGCCTTTGAAGGCATCGGAATTAAATGCTTTTGCTTTTTGTCCAGGTTCAACAGTTGTCCAAGAAAGAGATTGAAGACCTTCTGAGAAAAGGAGCGTACGGAGCTCTAATGGACGAGGAAGACGAAGGCTCAAAATTCTGCGAGGAAGACATTGACCAGATCCTCCAGAGACGAACCCACACAATCACCATTGAGTCAGAGGGCAAGGGCTCTACTTTTGCCAAGGTGAAAAACTTCTCCTTCTCCTGCACTGTACGTACAGCCTGTGCTGTGTCTGTAGCTTTAAGTAAAACTACCAACATGTTTTCCTGTTTCTGTCTCTGCAGGCCAGTTTTGTTGCAACGGGTAACCGAACAGACATTTCTCTGGAGGATCCAGACTTCTGGCAGAAATGGGCCAAGAAGGCTGAGCTGGACATGGACGCCATCAATGGACGGGTACTGCATAGGCACTTATACTTAGATACATACAAGTAGCTACTGCGTTAGCCATAATGGTGGAATTTCATACTTTTATTTCTTCCCTTTGTTCTGTGTCAGTCTGTCCCTGATTGGCACATAAACAAGCTATTTAGCTGTTCTGTGTTCTAAAAATAAAGCAGTCTGTAGCTGATTATATTTAAAAAATAAAAAAAAATAAAATAAGGAGAGAGGTCGTGGCTGGTGAAAAGGGAGAGGTCCAACTTCTGATGAACAGGGGGCAGGCAAGGAGATACCAGCTGAACCAGTGAGGGAAATAAAAAAACACAACACATTCAATTACAATTCATAACGCAGTAGTAGGGCTGTTAAATTTAATGAATAGTATCACATTTTGGCTTCCAACAGTTACATGAACATGATCGACTGCTCTATTTCGTTTAATAAAGCACTCTGATCGTAGAAAATCTGCCATTAGAACGCCGGGTTTCAGTCTTTTTCAAATAAATTTTTGGTCACACACCTGTCTGAGTGCACTGGAGCTACTCGTAGCTTCTAACGTAACCTGCATCTGTATGTTCAGCAAGCAAGACGTTTCTTACCTGTGTGTGATTAAGTCATGGACCCGTGCGACCAGTGGGGAAAAAAAAAATCCTTCTGAAACCCTGTAAACTGTAAATATTAATGTCTGCACTCTAAAACACACCCAAGAACACACAAAACCCACAGAGAGAGAGCCATCCCATCATTTATCTAAATACTTTAATGCATACAAAGGCTCTTGGTAGTGTCCCCTTATGGAAAGGGGGCCTACAGTGGTAATTAGTCAGCGCTATCACCACAAGGTAAAAGGAAGAACGTGAGACGGGGCAGGGAGCGAGAGACAGGAAGGACAGGAGGGAAGCGCAGAGAGAGGGAGAGAGAGATTAATATTGACAGTTGGGAATCTCCTCTCTTCCTTAATTACCCATGTTTCCCTGCTCTCGTGTGTGTGTGTGTTTGAGCGAGAGAGAGTAAGCTGCTTAGCTCCACTTAACAGAGCGCAGATGCCTGGAGGGTACAGAGATATCACTTAGGCTAGTGCTCACACACACACACACACACACGCACACACACACACAGAAGCGCAACCTCCGTCACATTCTTACACATCGAGCACTCTGCTAACTGGCATCTTTATATTGCCGCTTTCCTCTCCTCTCTATATCGTTTGCTTCTTTTTTTTCTTTTTGTATTTCTCCCTCCTCATGACTTCTTCTCTCTCCTCCCTCTCTTGTGAAGGGCCCTCCACTGGAACACTTAATCCAGCTCTACGAGCATGAATACGGGCAGCTCCCCTGGGATTTCTTATTGTTTGATGTTAAAATGGAAATGACTTCAGCACTCTGTGATAATTGTGGAACTAACTACTGCCCTGTTTGCGCATATTAATGGGATTGCAAGAGGGGGGAAAAAATCAAATTAATTGAACAAAAATCTAATTCATTAGACAACATAATTAATGCCAGTTTATGTTTGAGCTAGGCAGCAAATTTCTCAGTATCAGGAATGAAACGCAGGGCCAAATATCCAATTAATCAGATTTGGTGCCATGTATTCACAAGGTTCACACTAGTCATAGAAGTCAGAACGTACAAGAAATTTACAAATGGGCCACTTCTGGGGAATAAAACAGAAGGTACTTTGCATATTGTTATGGGTGGATTTGAGGCCATCTGTAACTTAAACCAGGTTCCTGGGAAGGAAGGCAAAAAAGCACGTACCAGAAGGAAAGATCAAGCGTATAAAAGTACACGGACTAAAACATTTCCAATGAATTTGTCTCCAGAACACGCTGGTTATTGACACGCCGAGGGTGAGGAAACAGACGCGGCACTACAGCAGCGTCAAAGAGGAAGAGATGCTGGAATTCTCCGAGCTGGAGAGCGACGAGGACGAACCGAGCAAACCTTCATCCAAACCACGACGGCCCCAAGACAAAGCCCAGGGCTACCCCAGATCTGAGTGCTTCAGAGTGGAGAAGAACCTGCTGGTCTACGGGTCAGTCACATATTCATGTTTCCTACTCATGAAGCAGATAAATGACGAGGTTGAGCACTGATTTATATACAAAATTTAAATTTTGTTTAGTTTTTTTAAGAAGAAGAAGCTGCCTTCTTAGACAGTATGCTGCAGTGAAGAGAGGAAATATCATTTGTTTTAGATGGAATAAAACTGCTCTTTTGACATTGATATTAGAGGAATAGTTTGACTATTAGGGAAGGTTGAATTTACTTGTGTGTTTTAAATTACGGTCAGTCGATTATTGGATTTAACATTTTTCCACTTGTTGGTGTCGTTATTGTTTAAAATTCATTCCCAGTGTAAGAAATGTATCTTTAAAATGTACAAAACTTGCTCTCATGCAGCCACCTCTCATCATAAATTAACAAAAACTGTGAAGTCTTGCACACATCTCAACCGTGTTAAAGTTTGTGTCATTCTAAATTTTGACAACGATTTTTATTATTACTCCAATGTATTTTAGCTCCAAATATCAGTTATCAGTCGACTTGATTACGGTGCTGATATCAACCTGAAACATCATATTAATCAATCCCTAGTGTTAAATATACATCTATGTTCAGGAGACAGCTAGCTTACAGACTGGAAACAGGGGAAGCAGCTAGCCTCGCTATGTCCAAGCTAACAAAATCCACTTACCTGTACCTCTAAAACTAATTAACACATGTCCTGTTTGTTTAATCTGAACAAAAACCAAAGCATTTGAACAAAAGCTAGGGGCTTACTTATTTACTGGACTAGGTCTTGAGAAGGCACACTGACTTCCTGGGGTCTCCACTGGCCTCACAGTGATGACAAGACACTATCATCCCTGCACGATATAATACATTATTCTGCAGAGCTGCCCTTAGGCTGTTCATTTACCTGCAGACAGAGCCCTGCTAGCTGTTTGCACCCTGCTTCCTGAAAATTAAATTTCCCCCAAACATCAAACTGTTTTTAAAAATACAGAGATGATGCATATGAAGGAAATATCAAAGGAGGCTGAGAATAATACAAATGGACTTCAATCTTGAATACAGTTCACATAGAAGCCTCTCCAGGGAGCAGGTATGAAGGTTAAACTGTGACTGTGGGGGACCAAAAACCTCAGTGACGCAGGCAGCCGGACACACAAGCAGAAGAAAGCCGAGTTTAGGTTGTGGTGGATGTGGAGTCATGCTGGCGGGTGGAGCTCATCACTCAGTTAATGTGTTCACTTGTGTGTAAAAGAGCACACAAGGTAATGGATGCAGACCTGCACATGGAGTGATTTAGTAGACAGAAATCTCTGCAGTCAAGGCCATCAACACACACAGCCACTAATCAGTGCTGCCGTGAAACACACTCATGCGGGCACACACGCTTATTCTGGTGCGCACAAAGTGGCCTTGGGGAGCATAGAGCAAGTGTTTAGCTCACATACACGCAATTGACTAATGTTAATCCTGTCTCATCTGCACAGTTTAAAAGGAAGGACCCTGAAATTTGCACTGAAGCTGTTTTTTTTTTTTGTTTTTTTTACATTTCTGTGAAAATTTTAACTTTAAATTGCATCCAGGTTTTCTTCAAGAAATGTCAGTGGATGATGTACGTACAGAAAAATATATTATTGTGTGAATCTCTTCTTAGCGCAAACCTCTACTTGTACAGTAACATATACGAGTGCAGCACGCAGTCGAAGTGACACACTTATCACAGATAGTGATTATCAAGCGAGCCCGTCCGTTTTCATGGCTGACTTGCGTGACGTGTGTGTGTAAGAAAGAACAGTGGTGCTAGTGAGATGTCAGCGTTGTTATTGTTACAGTCTAGTCTCGTGGCCTGAGGCTGTAGGACACAAAAACACACTGTCTGACTGGGCCTGTCCTCTCCGCTCAGCGCTCTGTTGTCTTTTCCCATCATCCATCTCTCTCGCTCGCCCTCACCCTCCATTTTACCCTTTCTAAAAAGGTTCAGACCAAGACTGGTTCACATGGTTCACTGAATATTGGAAAGCAGCAGTGTAAAAACATTTTTTTAGTTGAGAACAAGGCAGTCTCAGGGATCCTGACCACTACATCAGCCTCTAGGGTCGCTTGCTCTCTGGAAGTGGTGGGCTGTGATCCATGAAAACACACACACACACACACACAGAGGGATGCCACTAGTTAGAGTGCCAGTAACGGTTAAGTCAGCAGACTGGTAAAGTGTACAGTATAATGAGAACCAGGCACTCATCGGTGCATGTGTGTGTTTGTTTGATCGAAGTCTGAGCTATGAGACTAAATGATGTGGACTTGTGTGTGTATTCATGAAGGAACAGGGTCAGAGACGTGAAATAGTGTCTGACTGACGGAGTAAAATAATTATTGCACAGAGTTTAGTTTAGCATTTCCCAGTTTCCAAACACAAAATCTGACATTTTTGTAAAGAGAAACATGCCAGATACTTTGTTTACTTCACAAAACCTCACATGTTTCATTTTGATTTTGCTAAATTAGCACTGGAAAATTAAGACTTACACTAAGTTGTTTGCTTTCCTACAGTATTTTATTACTCATATTGTTGTTAATAGTATTTGTACTTTACAATATATCAAAGGAGAAAACTTGTATGATGTTCAGAGTGACATCACTTTCTACAGTTGAATTGATGTTCATTGAATATTGAATGTTTGAGGTTCAGCTTGTGCACATACTGACAGGGTCGCGCCTTTCCTTTCCTTCCATGTCCGTCTTCAGTTGGGGCAGGTGGAGCGACATCCTGGCTCACGGTCGATTCAAGCGCCCCCTGAAGGAGGCCGACGTGGAAACCATCTGCAGAGCCCTCCTGGCCTACTGCCTGCTGCATTACCGCGGAGACGAGAACATCAAAAGCTTCATCTGGGACCTGATCACCCCGAGTGCAGACGGGACCACCAAGACACTCACCAATCACTCTGGTAACGCTCACGCCTCCCTGATTATACATAACTACGTATACTGTAACCCCGCGGCTACACTGAACGTGTAACGTATGTGGAGTGTTTTGCTGAGCGGGTGCTGCAGCACTACACTTCAAATACATTTAGTGAAAGTGGCAACACCAGGTGTGTGAACAGCTTAATGGTACTTATGCCCTGTGGAGATCCATGCTGCAAAAATAACAATAGATCAGTCTTCTATTTTTATATAAACAAGGTGTGTAAGGGGGGAAAAAAAGTATAGTATTCATATTTTAAAATGAAATTACCATTATATAGGATAATGATGGCTCTGTACTAAACAGGGCTTCCACTTCGGAGTCTTGATCACCCTGTCGGCATTTATTTGCCATTTCTAGCTGACAGTTGCTTAGTAGCTTTTTCTTTTTCTTTTTTTTACACAGTTGCCAATAGTCTGTAGATGTGAACTTACACATATTACAAAACTGGATGTCTACACCATGCAGGTGTAGCCAGAAAATCAATACATTGCGTGACACATCAGCTCATATAATCTCTCTCTCTACTAAAAAACACCTCTACGGTAGTTCCCGCTGCATTAGGTGTCTCAAGGTTCACATTTTGCCACGATAAAACACGCAGATTCTCAAGGTGAAAACAGTAAGAGTCATGCTGTCGTAGCTGGCAACATCTTAAAGGGACAGTTCACTCAATAGAAATGTATTTGGTAGCAAGAGTTTTTTCCTTCCTTGGTTAATAGGCAAGAAAAATATGTGGTAGAACGGGTGTTAATTACAGTAACAGGCTATACGAGAGCATTTTGTGTAAAATATTGGTGCTCAGATTAAATTTATCGTTTATGTAAGTTTACAAAACGCATCAATAACCCTAAAGATGTGTCAAAAGGTTTGCAAGCTGTCATTCGTGGAAAAACTCTGAATACTGTCTTACCACCTTGTCGCTCTCTTTTCTTTTCCAGGTCTTTCTACCCCTGTCCCTAGGGGTAGGAAGGGCAAGAAGGGGAAGCCCCCGGCCCCGCCTCCACAGACCCCACGAGCTGATTGGCTGGCCAGCTGCAATCCTGACCACTTACTGCAAGAAGATAGCTACAAGAGACACCTGAAACATCACTGCAACAAGTAAGGCTTCCTCAAGTATTCATACACACCTGAAACAGTAGGGAAGCTAGCAGCTAACACGTGTAACCCGTAGGAATGGACCACTATGGCTTTTCCTGTGCTGATTATTGTTAATCCAGTATTGGTTAGCTGAAATACATTAAATGTTATGTATTAACAGCGAGGTGACTTTGTTAATACTGATGGCTCTAACTGAATATGTCAGATAGAAATGAGAGTGGAAACGTCAGAGCGCCACATGTTGACGCTAGGCCGTTCTCGTCTGTTTACTGTGAGATCAATTGATCAAGATTCAACAATTAGTCTCTTGCAGTTACGTCTGCTGTTCTTCTGTTTTGCTAATCCTCACTGTGCTATAACTTTTATTGCCCTCAAATCCCCATATCTTAAAGCAATACAGTCCATTCCTGCTTCATAACTTGGCTTTTCGTCGTTAGTGTAACCTTAGCCACTGTGAGAGAAGCCAATTTTCTGATTTGTGGTGATGACTGTGCTTCATGTTCAGCATTTGCTGGTTGTGTCTCTGCTAGTGTCTTTCATTTAGAGCAGATTGCTAAAGTTAAGCTGAAAGATGTTGCAGCACTCCAGATAGCTTTAGCTACAGGCTAAGAGGCACAACAAACCTCTTAGTGATAACCTTAACCTAGCAGCGTCAGCAAAATAACTTCTGGTTACATTGACACCAACAAGTGAATTATTCTAAAACTCGGGCATACTTGTGTAAAATTGTGAATGTTTCTTACAACTTTAGTGAGATCTGCTAACTCAAGATAAAACACAGCTCTGCTCTGCAAATGTGCTCGTCTGTCCCTGTCTGTAAACAGTAGCTTTCATTGTTGATTGGCTGTTTCTCTTAAAATGTGACCAATCAGGTAGAGCTGTGGGCGGGACATCGTTTGAGAACACAGTGACTACAGAGAGTGAGCAATGTGGTTTTTATACATTATATTAGTTATCCAGTAATTAAAACAAAACATACTGAAAGTCAGAAAAATGCAGACTTTTGGCCCTGGTAGTGAACCTGGCCGACAATGAGTCGATCCCGAGTAGCCACGAGCACCGGGCCATAAAGAGGTTATGGAGACATTATTGCATTCAGTTCATATAGTGGAAATATGTATTTATATGAGATTAGTATGGCTAGATTTGGGGCTTTAAAACCAGGGCATAAGTACAAGTGGCAGGTGGGATGAGTTTCTGAATCTGACTTTACAACCACACACACACACACACACAACACAACTTTAACACACAAACACATTTGTCTGTGGTCAGCCCTCTCTCCTGTCGTCAGGGAGATATGCTTCCTTGCCCTCCAGATTCAATTCCAAGATTTTTTTTTTTCTTCTCCTTCTTGAGGGGGAAGTTTGTTTGTTTGTGTGTGTGTGTGTGTGTGTGTGTGTGTGTTCGTCTGGCCGGTTGCCAGGCCAGGTGCTAGGCAGGCAGACCTGTTGGAAGTGGGTGAAAGACACGCACAAACATGGACACACACACATACACACACTTGGGGGTGATTATGTGGTGCCATCTGCTAGGCTGGAGCACAGCGTTGTGTGGCTAATCAGGCCTGGCACATTGATGGATGAGCACACACAGCCTGCCAACAAACACACACACACTCTGCAACTTGTGATGCCATTGATGCACAAACACACACACTGCAGAATGAGTTGCAAATGACTGTCTTTATACCCTCCCCCCCGTCTCTTCGCTGCCTCTCCAAACTTTCTGTTCCCTCCCTTCCAGCACTGCTCCATCCTTTCAATTCTTCTCCCCTCTGCTCCTCCCACTCATCTCCTCCTCCTCCGTCTCTTGCTCCAAAACGCTGTTACTGGCATTAAATCCTGGTGACAAATCTGGTGACAAATGTTTACAGTGAAGCAGATCTCCCAGATAGCAGCATTTCCAATGTCAGGAGATCAAATCTGACTCTCATTCTCTCTGACTGAAGTGATTCATTTTACTGGGGGGAGACGCTCGAAGCAAATTCTGATGCGGAACATCTGTAATTTGTATCCGGAGAAAATGGCCATCCTTTTGACAGCGGTTGTAAAAAAAAAAAAACCCGCTGAAACATAGTAATGAATTATAGTTTTTTCAAGCAGTATTTCTACACAAGAAAACCTCAGGACATTTTCCATCCGAGTAATTTAAGATCAAAGATTCAAGAGCCTTTCCTCTGTGTTCGAACCAGTTGTACCTCTTCTTGACTTTACAGCTCAGACCCAGTAAAATGAGTCCAGTGTGAATCATGTTATTAGGGCTCCCTCTGGTACTGAAACAGCTGATATCACACGCACTCATGAAATGTCATTTAGATGAGACATTATGCAGCAGTTTTACAAAGATCCTACTTATCTCAAATACAAAAGCAACTGTTTCTTACAAATTAATTGCAAAAGATATGAAAGCAATGAAACTGGTCAGTGTAAGCTTTAGTGGTTCTGCCTCTACAAATGTATAGATTGTTGCTGCTTTTCTTTGTTTTATTTCTTTGTTAATTAACTATCTTGAGAGTTGTGGTCAAGCAAAGCAGCAACTTGAAGAAGTCATATTGAAATCTGGAAATTTGGGATATTTTCTCACTTTATTATTTGTTTAATTGGAAGAAATATTTCTATTTCAGGCCTTTGAAAAATCAGACAACTGTCCTCGTGAGTACCTTCACTAACTTTTTCTTCTTCTGTTTCTCAGGGTGTTGCTGAGAGTGCGAATGCTGTATTATCTGCGACAAGAAGTCATCGGTGACCAGGCCGAGCGCATCCTGGAAGGAGGCGACTCCAGGTTAGTCCATTCTCCACACTACTTTCAGGTTGTTTTGCAACATCTCTGCATCCTAAAGAGGACTGATTGTATACAGGACAGTCTTTTTTTTTCAGTTTTTCTCTTATCCTCGTGTCATTTTTCTTCTGTCCAGCCTGTCTGCCTTTTATTGCCGTAATTTTCTAACAAACAGAACTCTCTCATCGAGGTTTAGAGATCTTACATCTGAGTTGCGCTCCATTTTATTGCTAACAGACAGTAACTGGCACTAAATTATCAGATTGTCTGATCAGGATCTGATAACCTGATATAAATTGTAAAAGAATACAGCCATCCTGTACAGCAGAGTTTTCCTAGAATACAAGATACACTTGGACAGGCAGCGGAGAGGCTTCATGTATTGGAAGCCTCATGAAAGTTAGTTGAGAGATGGATATTTATATGGACTTGTGATGAATTATTACTAAAGTGTATTTCAGTCTGTTCTAGTGGCCTCTTTGGCAGGGTTCTTCCTATTCTGACAGACACAACACACAGTTACTTCATCAGGGGAGATGAGCTTTTTATCACAGTTTGACCCATTTAGAAGTTTTTTTTTGACAAGCTATTGCCTATTACGGTTTGGCACGAGGCCTGGAGGTGTGGCGGCGTCGATGCGAAGGTTGGACACGTCGCTCACCTTGACTCGCTTCCTTCATCTCGCTCTGACAGCTCCTCCGCTGCTTCCTCCGTCTTTTTCTCCGTCACACTACACTTTTCTTGCCATCTGTCCATCCCTCCCTCTCTCTGCAGTGCACTTTAGTCTCTCGTCGCCTCCCATCCCCCCCTTCTCCTCACCCCGCCACCCAGATGTGAATGCATTTATAATGTGGAGCACGTGCACTCCATGTTGATCTCCCCCGCCACCCTCCCCCTCGGTCCCTCCCCCCACTCAATGGCTACTGTGACAGACCCCTGTGAGTGTGTGTTGTGTTGTGTTGTGTGTTGTGTGTTTGTCAGCGCGTGCCAGACGTGAGCATACGGGGTGCCATCGTGCCAACATATGCCAGGGGGATTTAGCATGCCAGTCTTGGCGCGCACGCGTTTGTGTGTGTGTTGCCAAGGCCGGGCATGCTGCTGTTTGCAGAGATAAGGGACTGTTTCCCTGGTTTCTTCTCTCCTCCTGTCACCCTCTGTCTTTCTGCTTCTATTGTGCATTGTACCCTTTCTCTCCATAACTAGCTGGAAACACCATTTTCTTTCCCATAATGGAGAAATTTTTTTTTCCCATTTATTTATTTATTTATTTTTCCCGTTTTGGTGCCGCAACAATCGAGGAACTGAGAGTAATTGCACATTCAAACTGTTGGCGGTTTATTTATATGCATGAGCAAACCAGATATCTTGGTTTGGTTTAAGACTTGTGATTTAAAAAAAAAACAAAAAAAAAAAACTAATAATAAAAATGGATTAGAGCGACACTGACAAGCTCATAGAGTTTAGGTGCCATGATGGTAGCATCAGTGTACCGTTAAGAAAAACTCTAATATATCTGAAATTCTTTACTTGATAGTCGTGGATGTAGGATGAAGATGTTGCTCATTTCAGGCTTCTTTGTCCTTCCCTTTCGCTATCTACGTATTACTTTTTTCTTCGCTACAGGAAACATCAACAACAACCTATGACCAGAAACCGGCCAAACTGAACATTTTGCATTTTGCAGAGAAGACGCCCTGCTAGTTTCATTAGATGATCCATGTTAGTCATAGTGTTGGTTCCTTGCGTGCAAATGTTTCACAAAAATAGTTTCATTCATCACTATTTTGAGGGATAACTAATCTGCATGCTTTGCCCACAATGGCTGTAACTGGTTTAAAGAAAGCCAAACAAGCCAGAGCTTCCCCCCCCCATAGCAGAATGACAGTGAGGTGAAGTCAGACCATTCTGTACTACAGAATAGCAGAGTGAGATTAAATTGATCAGTAACTTGACTGAGGCTGGGCTGCCATCAAAACGTTGATTTGCATTGAACACATGCACTTAAAAACTGTCCCTTTTTACTATTTACTCAACGAATCCACATGAAAGCATTGAAAAATACATGAAATATACGTTCAGCTCAACTGTCATCATTTTAGTTTCTCGTCAAGTTAGTGTGGCTCCCACAAATGAGACGAAACTAACCTTATAAATGAATATAAATCAAATCCAGTGGGAATAAACAGGCAATGCAGCAAGCAAATGTGTGTTTTGATGATATAGTGCTGCATCTCTTAAATTTATGCAGTGACACTCCACCACTCCACACTCCATGTCCTTTTCACCTTTGGCATTCAGTTTCTCAAATCTGAGTTATTTCCAGATTGACCTTTCCATGGCAACAAAACAGGTGCCAGCGAGCAGTACTTCCTGTTTAGATCATTATTCCTTTCTCCTGTGTTTGCTGAAACGCACTGCTCAGTCAAAAAAAACAGCAAGGAGGGCTTATTCATAGCATGGAGACACTAAGAGGATATCCAAAGTGCAGCTGCACAACTTAAGTGAACAAGACCAAAAACTCTGCATTTAAATTATTACTCCTTAAATATTTTCTGATTGGCTGCTGACAGCTTTAAAAATCTGATTCCAACACAAATGGCTCATAATCAGATTTCTGCTCTTTCCTCGTTCTCTTTTTCTGTTCACAGTTGAAATGCAAGACTGATGCCGCTCTCGAGTAAATTGAACTCGCGCAAACATTTAGTTTGATTATCAGCGATGTGACATTGTTTGTCTCTGCCACAGTGTGCTGGATATCTGGATTCCCCAGCCGTTCCACGCCGAGGTCCCCGCCGACTGGTGGGACAGCGAGGCCGACAAATCCCTGCTCATCGGCGTCTTCAAACACGGTAACGGACGCACAACAGCATCCTCAGACTCTCCCTGCACACACACATCTTACCAGCATAACATCTATAACGCACACACACAGATAACATGTCAGCACCTTCAGACTCACACTCTGTTGACTTCCAACCCATCGCCGTCAAACTGGGTGAGCGCGCACACGCGAACGCATCCCACCCACTTCTGCTGCCACCAGTTGATTGGTGTTGCTATGGCGATGGCGGTACGCAGCTGGCAGGCTCAGTGTGCTGTTGGGATGTGATTGATGGCTGGTTTCACCACTGGCGGCGAGTGTGTGTGCACGTGCACAGTGTTACAGGTGTTATCGTCGTAAACAAAGATAATCTGGAATAACTAAATCTTTCCTCTCTGTTCACTGTGGAGCTGCTTATTGGTGAATGTTGCATTAATCTCCAGGTGACCCACCTTTAGCTGCACACAAGTGTCTGAATGTGACTCCTGGTGACAGGAGCTGAGGCAGAGTTTCATGTGTGTGTGTGCGCTGTGGATGGAGGCCCTCATTCATATTAATTTGGCATAATTGTCATAATTTTTCCATCATTGCCACCTTCTATGATTCAATTAGGACACACACACACAGACACACACAGGAATACAAAAGGGCTCACCCATAGTTAATCATAATCCTCATTCACCAGGGAGGCCCTTCGGGGGGACTAACACACACATGTGCACACTCAGCTTTGTATGCAGACACACACGGAGGCGCACAAAACAATGCTACACACACACACACACACACACACAGAAGAGTGATGGCCTATAAAGGCCCTGATGATTAACGTTTGGCTGCAGGCAGAGCTGTGTGTGTGACGGTTAGGAACAATGCGTCACATCTTTCCTAATTGAAATGTGATGGAGAGAAAGAAGGAAGGAGGGATGAATGAAAGGTTAAAAAGAGACGGTGTGGTTCTGTTACCTCCTCACTCCCCTCCTGTCCCCCCGGCTCCTGTTTCCTTCCCCTTCTCCTTATTTTTTTTGCTCATTTTTCCCCTCACCTCACATGCTCCTCTGCATTTTCCTCCCATTCCTTCCATCTTTTCTCCCCCCTTCTCTCTCCTTCCCGATGTGTCTCAGTAGGATCTGCACATTCTAATCTGTTCTGCCTGAATGCTCCTAACGGACAAACACACTCGCACAGTTTCTCACACCCACTAGCTCACTTTCACAGACTCCATGACACACACACACACTTCTTCCTCTTCATCCTCCCTCCTCTCCCTCTGACACAAATGAGCACCTGCAGGCTCACTTGGATAAGCACACACACATGAACGCGCACGTGCACAACGGAGGCGAGTACACAAAAACACACACACAGGCTGTCTGTCTTGTCAGCAGCTGGCTCCTGGGGTCTGCCCTTCTGCTGCTGTTTTTGTCTATTCCTTCATTTAATATGGATGCTGTGTGTGTGTGTGTGTGTGCGCTGCATGTGTGTGTTGCACTGTGCAGAGTCCCGTCTGTCTAGAAGTGAGCTAGAAAGCACAACTTCTTTTTTTTTTTTTCTTCCCTTCACCTTTCTTTCCAGGAGTTTGCCTTCAGCTGAGTGTGTGTTGACTAATAACCTTTTGGTCTTTCTGAGGCAAATTTGACTGGTTACAGATTGAAATCCAGTTTATAGCCTCCTAAACCTTCAGGCGTAGATTCCAGGTGTCTGTATTTTCTCATTTCTTTCTCTTGCTCTTCAGGCTATGAGAAGTACAACTCTATGCGAGCCGACCCCGCCCTGTGTTTCTTGGAGCGAGTGGGCATGCCAGACGCCAAAGCTATCGCCGCTGAGCAGAGGGGCTCTGACATGATGGCAGATGGCGTTGAGGGGTAAGAGAGCAGGTTTTACTGACCAAAGAGCAGCTCTTCACTCTTCTGTCCTTCGAGTGTTTTTATTTATTTTATTAGTCTGTACCTCTGGTTTTGAGGAGTTGCATTGTAATGCCTTTTCTTTGCCATTTTCCACCCTATTTAACCTCAGTTGATGCTCAGGTTGTTGGAAGGCCTTTAAATTCTGAAATGGACTGGAATTTAAATGTGAATTCCTTCCTTGTCCTTGTAACTCTCTGCAGTGAGGACGAAGATCCAGAGTACAAGCCGCTACGCATGCCTTTCAAAGATGATTTGGACGACTTCACCAACTCTCCACTGGATGACAAAGATGACACAGTGGAGGGCGAGACTGAAGGTAAACTTGGGCTCTAAACAGAAATAAAGGAAGATGGTAAAATGCCTTCCAAAAGCAGAATTATTCAAAAAGTTCTGGCAAAGTGTGAATTTCTAATGAGCAGATTAGGTGATGAGACATGAGTGTGTCAGGCAATTAAACTGCACACGTCTACATAAACAGCCTCTGAAACAGCAACACAGTATAACCCTGCAAAACTCACAAACCCATGCCCACCAATTCAAGTCTCTTAGCATTTAAACAAATGACAAGTGTATTAAAAAGTGCAAAAATGGCAAAGGCCACAAAAAATATAATTATCCAAAATGAGTTTTGTACACAAACGAGTTGTCTCTGCCTGAAAAGGGAAATGTCAGGTGATTCATTCCTCAAGCCACAACTCAGACAGTTAGCGCAAAAGGGACAGAGCTGCTAAAATGTCAACGAGGTCCAACAAACAAGGAGCAAAATGTAAAATAAGATGCAAACGTTTACTGCTCCTGCATCAGCAGCGCCATGTAGAACAAGTGTTGACATTAAAACACTGATGGTCTTTTCTTTCTCCTGTCCTGTAGCAAAATCAGGTGAAAACGGTCAAAGTGCACCTGCTGTGGGCGGAGCTTCAGGCTCCAGCGAGCGTCTCTATTGGCCAGCAGCCTCAGCTCTGACAGCTCGTCTGCGTCGACTCATCACGGCCTACCAGCGCTCCAACCGAAGAGAGCAGCTCCGCCAGGAGGCACTCAACCGACCTGACGGCCGCCGGCGACGACGCAGGGAGTTCCTGCCCTCCATGGCCATGGTCACTGAAACTGGAGGAGGAGCAGCTTACATCCAAGATGGAACGGGGGTGTTCATGACAGAAGGAAGCCCATATCTGGCTAAAGGCGGCGCTTACTTTGCCAAAGGTGGACAGTTCATGCCAGAGGCATCGCCAGTGATGACCGCCAGCTCTCTGATGGCTGATGGAGCCATGTACTACAAGGAGAGAAGACAAAGGTAGTGATTATAAGGTTTACTCAGTGAATGTATACGACTACATTATAACATTTAACTAAAGATATCACCCCACAGTTATACAACACCCTAACAACAGCCTTAGAATAAAAGAATAAATAGAAGAAGAATAAAAAAGGATTAATCCTGCATTACTTTTGGTAGTTAAACCTTTTTTTCTCACTTGTTTTTTCAGATGGACTCGTCGTGAGGAGGCTGACTTCTATCGCGTCGTGTCCACCTTTGGAGTCGTCTTTGATACCCAGCGTCAGAAATTTGATTGGGCACAGTTCAGGGCCTTTGCGCGTCTGGATAAGAAAACAGACGAGAGCTTGGAGAAATATTACTACTCATTCATTGCCATGTGTAAGCGGGTCTGCAGAATGCAGGTCAAGACTGAAACAGGTAAGAATACACAGAGCATGTTTCTGGAACTTGCTGCTCCGCATCTATATTTTGTTGATTCTTCTCACTAAGGACTTCCTCTGTGCCTTTTTGCTTGTCAGAACTCCCCGACCCAACCCTGATCATCGACCCCATCACAGAGGAGCGTGCCTCTCGGACCTTGTACCGCATCGAACTGCTCCGTCGCATCCGAGAGCAGGTCCTCCCTCATCCACTGCTCTCTGAGCGCCTCAAGCTCTGCCAGCCCTCCCCAGACCTCCCTGAGTGGTGGGAGTGCGGCCGCCATGACCGAGACCTCCTCCTAGGTGCCTCCAAGCACGGAGTGAGCCGTACAGATTATCACATCCTGAATGACCCCACCTTGGCCTTCCTGGAGGCCCACCAGCGATTTACCAACCAGCGAGGAGCCGGAGTCAACACCGGAGAGATCACCAAAGCCGGAATGGGAGCGTCAGAAGCCACCTCTGCTCCACTCCTCACCCCTGCAGAGCTGGCGAGTGCTGCAGCTGCTGCCAAAATTGCTGTTAACACGGCTAAAGAGGAGGAGGGAGAAGGGAAAGGTGTGAAGACGGAGGAAGGGAAAGCAGAGACGGAGGTGAAAATGGAAACGGAGGGAACAGATGCCAACGACATTCCATGTACCAAGACTGAAGCTCCTGATGAGCCGAAGGAAAATGAGGGAGAGGTCAAAGAAGCTATGGATGAGACTGCTGCTTCACCAGAGAAGGAGGTGAAGAAAGAAGAGGAGGTCCAGCCAAAAGTAGAGAAAGAGGAGCAGGAAGAGCCGAAGGAGGAGCAGAGTGGCGAGGACGACAAGAAACCAGAAAATGACCAAGACAAAGATTTGACTGAAGAGAAGAGCAGTTCGGATCCTGCTGAATCTCACACTGACCAGAATGAAACTACCACTGAGCTCCCAGAACAACCAGACTCTTCTCCTAAAGCACAGCAAGGCCACAAGCCTGCAGAGGAAGAAGATGGAGAGGAGAAGGAGAACCCAGAGTCTCCTAAATCTCCAAAGTCTGCTGACACAGAGAAGAGCCCAGAGGAGGAAGAGGAGGAGAGGATGGATGAAGACGACAAATCAGAGAAATCCTCACAGGCTGAAGGTATGGGGGCAGTTTGCTGCTTTAGCATAGGCTAGGAGTCGATGATCTGAGCAGGAATAATTTTGGGTTTTGGATTTGTTGCACAGAGAGAACATGTGAAGCTTCATTGTCGCTTCCACACAGCACAGATTTCTCAAATGTCTTAATTTAACTGTACTTTTGTGTAATATAATCCCTTCTGTTAAGCCGTTTATTTGTCCTGGTTGCCGGCCCCCATTATTGCTGACCCCACACTCGGTCACAGGCCTATTTCTGGTGTTTCCCCTCATGACTCGTCAGTGTTTTAATGAGCCTCAGTTCCAGGGGCGAGAGAATAAAATGAGTTTGGATCCCTTGATAACAATTCGGAGGCTCTTTTTAATTAAGAGTTGCAACGTGACTTTGATTCTCTCCACACAGCGAGTGCTGCGTCAGAGCAGAAGAACTTCGACGAGGAGAGTATCGCGTCTCTGAGCACGTCGGCCCGAGACGAAACCAGAGATGGCTTCTGCCCCGACGACCTGCCAGAAACTTCAGCCCTGCAGGCCTTACAGGACAGAGCCTATGCCTTCTCGTTCTGGCCTAAGGTGAGTCTCACATAAAGGAGATCACTGGGGAAGAGAGGTGGAGTTACCTGTATAATAACATCTCATGGGCTAAATTCAGCAGTGCAGAGTTCTGCAATATACTACTGACCATCTACAGTTTGCTTCTGCTTGGCTGTTTGATAGCTCTTTGCAAAATCAATTTTTAACAAATAAAAATGCAGAAATGTGCGGCTTCCTCTTTGGTTCCAAATGAGACCATTTTCTAGTTTCTTTATTCCTCTGTCATAATAAACAGAACTATGTTTGGGTTTAGACTGAAGTTGGACAAAACAACACCTTCCAAGATGTCAACTTGAGCTCTGAGGAATCCTGATAAGCATTTTACACAATGTCCTGATAATTTATTAGCCAAGGAAATAATCAGAAGCAGCCTTGTATTAAATGTGTACCAGGAAGAGATGGATCCCTCCTTTTGAACCACTGGAAATCTTTTAATGTGAAACATCTGGTCAGGAAGTATTTACTTGACAGTAGCTCAGCAGGATCATAAAAACAGCACGGCAGAAGTGATCGGAAAGAATTAGCGAATAAAAAGAATGTTTTGTGTTAAAGTGAAACTGTGCATTAGACTGGTGAGTTCTGAAGTACTGCTAGTCCTGTTGAATCGCTAAAAATTCAGGTAAAGGTGCAACACCTAAGCATGTGCAAGAGTTTGTATCAACAGCAAATGGGACATGTGACTTTTTTGGTAAAAATTGAGAAAAACCGTGACGTGTGTACAGAAAGAAAACCTGAGAGAATAACTAACAGAATAACCGTCACCTCCATCAGGACCGAGTGATGATCAACAGGATGGATAACATCTGCGAGGCGGTCCTGAAGGGCAAGTGGCCTGTCAACAGACGCCACGTCTTTGACTTCCCCAGCAACCTGTTGCCAGGGCACGGCTCTACGGCAAGCACGGCGGGCGTAGCCGCGGCGACAGAGAGCCCGCTCCAGAGGCGGAGCTTGGCCGAGCTGACGATGGCCGGCATCCACGCGGCGTACAGTGGGAGTGAAGATAAAACACTATCACCACAGGTTCATGTGAGTGTCTGCGCACTAATAACACCCTGCATATTCTCGTACATGTTTCACTGTTGGTGCTAATTTTTCCTGACAGTGAAAAGTCTATGAGCACTGGAATAGCACTAATATAATCAGTGCTGATTGTCCAAGTTGCTGCTGTTAGAAAGGTGATTAACCGTCAACCTGATGTTGCAGGAGGACGCTCTGAGCCTGACGGTGCCTCGACAGAGGAGGAGGAGGAGGAGAAAGATTGAGATTGAGGCAGAGAGAGCGGCCAAGAGACGCAACCTGATGGAGATGGTGGCTCAGCTGAGAGAAAGCCACGCTGCCGCCGAGTCCCAGAGCCAGGCTATAGACCTCACCAAGGTGCTTGATCAGCAACTAGTACTGTTAAACAACAACAACAAAAGTTCAATACAAACATTTTTAATGCATTACAAAATACTTTTTTTTTTTGCTAAATTTGGTCTGACTTGCCTTCTAGGGTATGCACCATCACCACAAGGCCTCTCCCTCACTGGCTGGCTTCCCCAGTGCCCTGGTGGCAAACCCCTCCCTTAAAGCCCAGATGGAGTTGCTGCAGCAAGCCCCGCCCTCGGGACACAGAGCCAATGGTTCACTGGACGCCGACCTGCCAATCATGAGGAGAAGGCGGGGCCGCAGGAAAAATGTGGAGGGCCTGGAGCTGCTGTTTATGGGCAACAAGAGAGCAGGAGGGGTATGAAGCAGAGCTACTGTCAACTTGTTTGTGACCTACGATGTTATCTTTCACCGTGTATTCAAATCAACATGAAATTAAAGTTTCCCTTTGTGATACGTTTTCAGGATGATGCCGACGGGGCGAAGGCTTCAGGTGTGGAGGGTGCTCAGGATGCTGCTCGTGCACACAGACCCCTCACCATCCCTGAGCAGAGCCCCAGCGCCAGATCTCTTGCCTCTGGAAGTCTGGATGAGGAAGAGACAGCAGTTTCCAACAAGGAGCTGGGAGAGTGGCTGAGGCAGCACCCGACATACACCATGGACATGGCTGGATTCACACCAGTACGTCCTCCTCATTATTGCCATCACCATAGTTAGTCCTGTCTCAGTGTAGTCTGGCCAAAGTTGTTAAAGACTTTCTCTTTCACAAGTTTTCACACCTACCTCTGTTTTTTGTCATCCTACTACAGAAGAGCGAGGAGTTGCTGCTGTCTCAGTTCTCCAAGCCCAAACAGAAGCGCCATCGCTGTCGAAACCCCAACAAGATCGACATCAACACCCTGACTGGGGATGAGAGAGTGCCTGTGGTCAACAGACGAAATGGACGCAAGGTAAGCTGACAAAAATCACAACTGTCCACCCAAAAACAGAAGCAGTAGATGTTACCAAATCACAACTGGCTTGTCAAGTTTCCCTGTGTCTTTCCACATGACTGGATTTTCCAAGAGAAGCTTATTTCATCCTCCTGTTTTTCAGATGGGCGGTGCCATGGCTCCACCAATGAAGGAGCTTCCAAGGTGGTTACTGGAGAACCCTGAGTTTTCCATCGCTCCTGATTGGACAGAGATCGTCAAACAGTCGGTTAGTAACCAAAATGAAACCTATCAGCACTTAGAACTTTGTATGGGTTACACAGAAAGAAAATTGTTGTTTTATCATTTGGGATGTGCCGATCAAGTTCTAGGTGTTTTGTTGTCTCCAGTCTGAGTCAGTTAATATTTAGTATCTGGTGATATCATTTTCCTGGATAATACACACTTCAGTTGTTGCAGATCAGCTGTAGCTCCTGATTACAGATATTCCATGTGGAGCCTCTTACTGTTTAATACTTTAGTGACCAGACGAGGTGGGCAGTTCCAAGCAGAGAGCATTGTGGGATTTTAGCTGGTAAAGAGGTACTGTGATGAAGACTTTTGAACATGTTATGACTCTTTTCGCTGCTTCTTTCAGGTTTCTGTGTCACTACAGATGTGAAGAAATAATCATGCATAGATTCCAATTTCCAATCATTAGAAAATTACCAGTAACTGATCCTGATCCCGATCTTAATATCAGGCTTGAGACATTCCAACTTAAAGCCTTTCTGTGCCCAACCATCCCAAACTGTCAGCTTGACGTTTTATGAACTGCAGATTTTTTTTTAATCATAAGTCTTCCTACACACAGGGTTTCCTCCCAGAAGCCATGTTTGATCGCCTTCTAACCGGCCCTGTTGTCAGAGAGGAGGGCGTCCGTCGTCGGGGTCGACGACCCAAATCTGAGATCGCCAAGGCAGCCGCCGCCGCTCAGGCAGCCGCAGCAGCTCAGGCTGCTCAGGCATCACTGGCCTCTGCTGCTTCATCTGCAGGTACTAACCCATTCTTCTCACTCAAATAGTCTGCTGGCATGTTGGAGGAAAATGTGACACTGTCATGCAGTAGCAGTTGGTAGCCATTGTGTTTGTGCTGTTGTACAGCTCCATTTTAACCCTGCCTCGTGTCTGCAGGAGGCATCAATCCTCTGCTGCTGAACAGTCTGTTTGGAGGGATGGACCTGTCTTCTCTCCAGAGCCTCCAGTCTCTCCAGTTGGCTGCTGGTCTGATGGCCTTCCCTCATCCCACTGACCCCAAACAGGCTGCTGCCAGCGCCGCCGCCGCCTCCATGCTGCCCCTCATGCTGCCTGGCATGGGAGGCCTGCCCAACATGGCCGCCGCCCTTCCCAACATGTTCAGTCTAGGCGGGCTATTTGGCGGTAATCTGGCAACAGCCGCCGCCGCCACCGCTGCCTCCAACGCTGCTGCCGCCGCCGCCGCCGCCGCCTCAAGCAACACCAATGGAACGGTGGAGGGAGAAAGAGGCAGTGATGAGGCTGTGTCATCCAAGAGGAAGAGAGAAGGGGAGGAGAAAGATGAGGGAGAGGATGGCGACAAGGTGGCAGAGGATGAGGAGGAGGAGGCTGAGGCAACCGAGGAAGGAGTGAGCAAGGCAAAGAAGAAGAAGAAGATGGAGAAAGATGGTCAGGGAGGTGCAGAGAAAACGGAGAAATCACTCAATGATGTCAGCGCAGCCCCTCAGGTCCCGGCTGTCGATTCTTCAGCTGAGGCATCCATCAACGGCGATGCCGCCGCCCTGCTGGCTGCAGCCGGTATGTCTGCCAACTCCCTGGCGTTCAACCCCTTCCTCCTCTCCACCATGGCCCCTGGCCTCCTCTACCCCTCCATGTTCCTACCTCCAGGCCTCGGGGGGCTCAGCCTGCCAGGCTTCCCCACCGCCTCCACACTGGCCGAGCTGCAGAGCGCCATGGCTGGAGCACTGGGGGGCAGCGCCGTGACCCCAAACCCCCCGAGAGACGAGGAGGAGGAGGAGGAGGAGGAGGAGGAGGACAAGAAGGGGAGCCTGAAAGCTACAGGAGAGGAGGAGGATGAGGAGGAGGAAGACGGCGGAGGAGAGAGTGACTTGGCTGAGGAGAAAGAGGGGGGAGCAGAGGGGGAGATGAGAGGCGAAGCTGAGGATTCAGCTGCAGAGGAGGGAGGGATGGGAGGAGAGGAGGAGGACGAGGAAGAGGCGGCGTCTCCACAGAAGGACAAGAGTGACTGAAATAGAACACAAAACTGACTGGCCTTGGACATTTCCTCACCTCTGACCTCCCCCTCACCACGTTTACACACCTCCACCAGAAATATCCAAACTATTATGAATCCTGTTTTATTTTTTTTCTTTGTGTTGTTGTTGATGATTTCTTTCACTCTTTGTTGTTTATTTTTTGGCCAGGTATATTTACTATGCGTCAGAGAGGCCGAGGTTTGTGTGTGTTAAGTTAAATCTCTCTGATCGATAGTTTAGTCAGGGAAATCCTCGCGGCCGCTCGCTCAGAGCTCGGCTCTTCTTCAAGGACTGTTTCTTTCTCTCTGGTTGGCCTGAGTGCGCTGTGAGCAGTGCACCCACACTTTTCTCTCCCACAATCCCTCAAATAGGACTTCACAAGGTTCCAATAGTACTATTATTATTATTATTATTATTATTATTGCTGCTTTCAGCTCTCAAGTCTTTATTTTTTGTTTTTGCCTCTTTCTTCTTCGTCTGGACTGTTTTGTTGTTGGTTGTTGGCAGCATCTCATCAAAAGAAGAGGAAACGCCCGCTGGCGTTTTTCTTCTGACATCAGTTCTCGAAAGAAAAGAAACAGCATTACAGCTAATCTGGCTGTCTGTCTGACAAAGCTGCTGCAAAAAGGAATTGTGGGTAATGGAGTTCTGTTCTGTCTCAGAGCAGATTGTGTTTTATTAGTTCTCACATATCAGACCAGGTAGACTCCGAGGAGGAAAACGAAACCGACTGGCCTAAAACTCAGTCTCACACACTGACTACAACACACACACACACACACATCCCAACACGTACTTGATCATGAGCTGCACACACACACATATTCAGGTGTCCACCACTACACGCACACACTAACCCTTCTCTGTCATGTAACTGTTTGTGGGAGGACTCGTCCTGCAGTTGTTTTTTCCTCTGAGTGTATGTGTGTGCTCGTGTGCACGCTGAACCAATACTGTTAAACCCAGTCCCACACTGAATACCAGTCTCGAGTCTTTCCACTGCCACATCTGAATCCTGTCTCTCTCTCTCTTTGCTCGAGGCGACTGGTTCTGGTTGAGGAGGTGGCAGGCGGGCTGGGTCTGCCGCCGATCAGGCCTTCTGATTGGTCCGCTTCATGCAGCCGAAACCAGTCGTCCTCGTCCAGAGGCTTCTGTGAATGGATTCAGAGCGGCGGTCCACACAGGGATGTGATGTTTCAGGTTTGTTCTTTAAATGGGGGCACATGAGATGGTGGATTTTGTTTGTTTTTTCTTCCCGGTTGCTGCCACATTAAAGTCTTTTTTTTTTTAGTTTTCTTTTCCTTCACATCCCGGTAGTTCCAGACCAAGTGCTGCTCCCTAAAGACTGTTGCTCTAGTCACACACACTGACACCAGGCCTGGCCCGAAGCAGGACTGACACACATTTTCAACAGAGTTTGGAAATTCACAAGTTTTACTATATGAAGTTCAACTCTGCTGCTCGCCGAGTAAGTTTTTGAATACTTGAAAAGCGCGAGCGGTGCTTGATTTGTTTCCATTCCCCGAGGCCAGTTCAGAGATAAATCAAGTGCTGCGAGTGGTTCAAATATTTGAAAGCACATTCAAACACACACACTGTGGCCAGGTCTTATTAACATTTGCTATCACAGCCAGCCCAGCAGATGCAGAGGGAGAGAAGTGGGTCTGAAAGGGGGAGAGACGAGCTCCGGCTCTCTGGAAGAAGACACCTTTTCCCCATCAAAGATCCTCGTTCTCCTCTCCAACGCTGAGACAGCAATAACCAAGGCAGCTTTTGAATGTTCCAACATCACTCTCCCAACACACACACACACACACACA